ACTGTAGTATTTCTAAAGCTCACAGAGTGAATGAGCTAAGTGATGAAAACTGAAAATCTGCTCTTATAATAAGTAGAGTATGAGAACTCAGATCTAAGAGCTAAGAGACTTATAAGAATTATCTTTGAATTGCAAGATCTCTTCAGAATCTGAAGAAGATTTATAGAAACTGTGATTATCACAGATATTATAGATGATATATACTTGAGACTTATATAACTTCAAAGACATAATCTGTACATAGCTATCTATAAGTCAGGTTTATACTTCTGATCAGTGTTGATAGACTAACTCATAGAGATAGAATCAGTTGATACTGTAGAGTTAATTAGAGAAGACAAGCTCATCTATATAATAACTTTACAAATGTCTGAGAACTTCACAGTTATAAAAACTGAGCTTCAGATATCAGAGAAATACTGAGATCTTACAGAGATATTCAGTTCAGTAAAGATAGCTGAGCTTTCTTCTCACTATAAGAAGAATCTGATAATAAATTTAATAGAAGAATAGAAACTCTTCTAAGAATCAATCTATAAGCTCTCTTATTATGAGATAGAGGTCTTACAGATCTATGTAAAGAAGAATCTGAAGAATGACTTTATCTGATCTTCACAGATCTCTGTAGAAGTCTCTGTGATATTTGTAAAAAAGAAGAATGAAGATCTCAGATTATGTATAGACTACTGTAATCTGAACTTCAAGATAATAAAGAGTTACTATTCTCTATCTCTGATTGAGAATGTAATTAACTGTCTTATAAGAGCTGTTATATTCATACAACTGAATGTGATTAATATATATACATAGCTGTGAATACAGTCTGAGAATAAATAAAAGACTGTCTTTAGAACTGCACTGAGATTGTTTAAATATCTAGTAATGTTATTTAATTTAACTAATATCTCTGCAGTATTTCAGTCTTTTATTAATAAAACACTTTATATATATATGAATGTCTTTATAATAATATATCTGAATAATGTGATGATGTACTTTATAAAGAAGAAAGAACACACTGAGTATATATGAAGTATACTGAAGGTCTTAGATGAGATAGAACTGTATATTAAGCTTGTAAAGTGCAACTTCAGTATCTATTGAATTAATTTCCTAGAATATGTAATTTCTGTAAATGATATTCAGATGAAATCTTTGTAAGTTAAGACTATTCTATTATAACTGAAGTTAACTAGTATTCATGAGATTCAGATCTTTCTGAGCTTTGTGAATTTCTATAGATAATTTATCTTTATATTCATGAGAATCTTCTTGACTCTTACAGACATGCTGAAGAGTGAAAATAAGAAGAAGTCATTCTGTGAATAAAGAATGAAAAGATTATTAAGAAGAAAGAGCTGTGAGAACTTTCTTATCTTAGAAGCTTACAGAGTCTTTGTAAGATTAAAACAGATATTCATAGATACAGTGATACTGTTTCACTTTAATCTCTTACTCTTAATCAGATTGAAGACAGATATCTTCTTCTTTATAATTTCAGAAATAGTCTTATAACTACAGTTAAATGAGAACTGAGTTTCAGTAGTCTTTTTCTTATAAAAGATGTAATCTGCAGAGATCAACTATAGCATTTATAATTAAAAGCTTCTTATAATAGTGAAATTCTTCTGTCACTGATATCACTACTTTAAGAGTCTTATAACAGTGATTACTGTTAAAACTAATTATAATAGCTTATAATAGTTTACTTCAATCAAGAAACTCTCACAGTGATAGATTTAATGAGCTCAGACACTGAGTGAGTTCTGATTCAAGATAGAACATATTAAGAGAACTAAGAACTCAGCAGACAGACTCTCTCACAAATCAGCTATATTAAGAAGATCAGAATAACAGATACAGAGAGACTAGAGAAGGTAGAAAAGCTTTATAAGATGCTCAGACTGAGTGTTATAAAGAGATTGACTGAAGAGCCTCTCAATTCTCTGTAAGAGAAGAAGAAAGAGAGAGAGAAGAAGTCTGTACAACTACTCTCTATAATACTGAGAGTTAACACTCTGAAGATCTCTGTGAGAATTCTTGAAGAGAGTATCTATAATCTGAAGAGTTTGTAAGCTTTGAGAAGTACTGCAGAAGATCTGATGTAAGAAGAAACAGAGTATAAGTCTTTATAAAATCTTCTATTCAGATTGTTTGAACTGCAACTGAAGAATGAATATACTCAGTATATTTAAAAACTGCTCACAGCAGAGATCAATCCTGCAGAAATGAAGAATTGAAGAGACTTAAATAGTCTCTTATAAAGAGAGAACTGAATTTATATATCTATAAATGAGTTTCTATATATAGAACTTATTAAAAGATATCATGACTCTTCTCTAGCAGATTATTTTATAGATACTGAAACTCATAAGTTGCTTATAAGAAAATACTTCTGACTGAAGATGTGAGAACTTGTCAAGAAGATAGTGAATTCTTATACTATTTATCAGAATTCATGAATAGTGTGATTCAGATTATATGAAAAACTTACTTCTCTACTCATCTTATAGAAATCTTGAAAACAGCTAGAAATGAATATTCTTATAAGTCTTTCTGAAAGTAAGAACATATATAATACCTGCTTTGACAGTGTGCTGATGATAGTAAATTACTTTATCAAGATAACACACTTTATACTTATCTGTAAGAACTTGAAGTTAAAGAATTTAACTTATATCTTCATCTGTGATGTGATCTGATTGCATGAGTTGTCTATAAACATTGTCTCAGATAGAGAATCAATCTTTACAGAGAAGTTCTGATCTGATCTGATGACTATACTGAAGATCTCATGAGATTTAAGCATGACTTTTCATCAACAGACAGATGATCAGACAGAATATCTGATAAGTATATTAAAACAGTATCTGCAGTGCTTTGTCAATTATAATCAGAATGACTGAGTGCATTGATTATCACTTATGAAGTTTATATACAATAACTTAAAATATGTCAGCATAGATAAAACTCTCTTTAAGATGCTCACTGAGACTTATTCACAGATAATCTTGATAAACCTGTGAGAGTATACTATAGAGTGTGATAATGCCTGTGAACAGGCTGAGAGAATTCAGAATATTCAGAAAAAAGCCTGTGAATTCTTGAGAAAGACTCAAGAGTATCAGAAGAGATACTATAACTTCAAGCATATTGTAAAGAGTTTTAAGAAAGATAATAAAGTCTGACTAAGTCTAGAAAACATCATTATATAGAGATCTAGTAAGAAGCTGAATCTCTTACAGACAGAGTCTTGTAAGATTATGAAGAAAGTTAGTTCACAGTTCTATAGATTGAAACTGTTATCTGAGTTACAGATATACAATGTTTTTTATATCTCTTTACTCTGTGAATATAAGGAATTCTCAGAAAAAAACTCTGTGACTTATCACTCTGTTCACAAAGTACTAGAGAGTGAAAGAGAATATCAGATTAAAGAGATTATTAACTCAGAGAAGTGAGATTATGAGCTCTGATTCAAGATTCAGTAGTAAGAGTATTCTGATAAGGTGAATAAGTTCACTTAGAAATTATCTGAGCAGATAAGATATCTACAGAAGATAAGATATGACTTGTATACTATGAATTCTGATAAGTCAGAATGATGTGATCTTTGCTAAGAATCTGATTATAATAAAGATATTAACACTGTTATTTGTGAATTCTAGTCTATAAGATAATGAGTTTCTACTGAGATGAACAGTCTGTGATATATACAAAGAAAAGAAGAAATCATGTTCTTATTAAAGTTAAAAAACAAGAAAACAGAAATAGAATTATGAACACAATTTAGAGATTAATAAAGAAAAAATAAAGAAAATTCACACTCATATTCTTAACATCTGTGACACTTAATTTTCTTATAACTATCAATTTCTCTCTTCAAAGAAGCAGAGAGTATTATATCTGTGATACAGATAATTATTACATTTGATGTAAAAGTCATCAGAAATACTGTGACGTGCTGAACCGAAGTGATGACTAGTCAGTGATATCACATAGAGATAGTTGTTTGAGAAGCCGTATAAGTAAGCTTGACTATCTTGCTTGAATAGTGAGCTCATAGGCTATAGAGTTATTATGAGAATATCATAGATATGGTACTTAGTATACTAAGAAGATTGTATGAGAAATATAGTAACTCTTGTATATATTTTAGTAGAAGAAAAAAATGAATCACTGACTTCTTTGATGAGGAGCCAGCATCTAGCTATTCTATATAGATAATGAGTGAATACTCTTCTTTTATTCTATGAGTAAGAATAGCTGAAGTGATACCTCAGCAGCATCTCACTATTAAGAAAGAGTAATCTGCTGATCTTATATAGAAGTGAGATTCTTATATTTATCAATCAGATCTTTCTATGATTTATTCAAATGATGTCAGAGTGATTGAAAACTGGTTTAGATGAGATTAAATTATCTGTATGAAAGTAATAAGTCATGTGAAACTGCAGCAAGATCTTGACATAGCTGAGAGTATGACAATACTCTCTTCTTTAAGAGTATAGTCTCAATGCTCTTAAGATTACTGAATTGAGAGTTATCTTTATTGTATAGCAACAGTTGTCAACTGATTGACAGTGTGTATACTGTATATGATACAAAGAAATAGATGAGTTTTTCTGCTGACTGTATAAATCTTTCTTTTCTCATCTTTATTTAAATTAAACATGTGATAAGTGAGTTCCTTATATATCAATTTGAGATATGAAAAACATAGTTAATAAGTGACTTACAGATCTCTCATTATATTTCATTCTATATATGAAATTCTCTGTAAAAGTGATGTATTTTAGAGACAAAGTTACCAGTAGTGATAGGATTTTTTGAAAAGATTTCTCTCTTCTGTGATACATTTTTCTTTTCTCTCTCTCAATTATAATAGTGAGTGCATGAGAGTATCATTCTTGAAGAATAATAAAGAGCTTATTCTGATATTTTCTAGTGAGTAAATATCTTCATGATGTAGCTGTGATCTCTGTGACTGTCAAGAAAGCTCAGTTGAAGATGAAGATGATGATGTTAATGAACTGCAGAAGCACTGCTCTCATTGTCACATTGTCTTCTTCTCCTTCTTCTACTTCTCTTGTAGCTGTGGTGATAGTCATCATACCTTGCAGTGAGATGTCATCTCTTCTGCTGATTGATTTGTCTGTGTTCAGTTCTTTCTCTGCTCTTCTCATCACTGTTGTGATACTGCCTCTTCTCTCAGTCAACACAGTGATGTATGACCCTGTGTGATCATTTAGAGAGGAATCTGGAGAGAGCTTGATTTCAGAGACAGTGACTTCATGAAGCTCAATCTGTAGTTCTTCTTTCACAGCATGTCTGAGCTCTGCTTGAGATACTGCTGAGTTGAGTTCACAGAGTTCTGCAGTTTTTTTGTCTTCTTTCTATGAGAAGACTTCAGTGCAGTCTTTGACTAGTACTGTCACTTATTTATACTGTGCTAAGCAGCTGAAGAAGAAGAAGATCTTATACACTCACTTCTTCTCTTACTTCTATTATTTCTGTTATATCTGTAACAATGACTTCTATCTCTCTGTAAGTATTATCTACTCTATAAGAAGGCATTGTATTGACTCTGACAAGAAGCTCAGATGCTCAAGCAGTATAGAGTGAGAATCTCAGAGCTTCAAGTATTAATAGATTTTATCAAGACTGAGAAGGTTTCTCTTGCTTATCTGTAAAAGAAGATATAAGTGTGAATCTCTGAGATAGAAAAACATCTCAGAATGACTAATCTCAAGAAGAGATTAACTAATACTGCTGTTGAAAGTGCTGTGAAGATCAATTACTGATTGAAGAGAATCTCACTTCAGTTGAAGTAGATGACTGAGATGTTTTATAAGTTGATAAGTTAATAATTTCAGTATTTTTTATACTCTTCTACAGCATGCATGCTCTTCTGTAGCATATTTCTCTACATCATCACAGTGTTAACTTCTCAGCAGGCAAAGATGCTGATGCTGAAGACTTCAATAATAAAGAATAAGTTTAATAAGAGTGTGATTATTGATAAGTAGATTCTGAGATTTCTTCTTTTTACTTTTTTCAGCAGGCTGTGACTCTATTAGAATAGCAGCAGTCTGCAGATCAATAATATTAAGCTTTTTATTAGTTTCAAATATTTCTTTTCTCTAATCACTTCAGGAATTTTACACTTGTATAGTCTCATTAAACTTCTAAAAAAACTCTTTGAGAGAAAATAGAAGAAGAGTGCTACAGAGCTTACAAGATACTGGCTCATCACTGTGAAATTATCTTTAAAAAAATCTCTTGAGAAAAAATAAGAAGTCTTAAGCAGTATTTCTTGTTCAATATCTCTAATATATAATGAGATAATCTCTACTAGTCATCTCATAGCTTGCAATCTCTTTCTCAGCATTTTTCAAATACTTAAGCAGTTCTTATAAATTCTCTGATGATGAATAATCTTCTCATTTAATAAGATATTGAAGCTTATCATAATATGTTCACTTATTTAATATTTTCTTTATAAGATATTTAGTATCACTCTCAATCTCAATATTATTTGACTGAGACAGCTTTATCTCAGAGTATTACTTATAGAGCTTCAAATAGAAAATATGAAAAACAGAATGAATTGATTTCAATTCTGTGAGAATTTCAACTTATATGTCTGCTTACTTATCACTCTTATTACTGAGAAAGATTCTAGTCATCACTTACTGAGCTTCTTACATAGTTTTATTATCTTGATATTCTTTGCTGAAAGTAGTACTTGATTCTCTATCAAGAACTTCATTGAAAGATGTTTTCAATTATAGTATTTTATCTACTACTTCTGAGTGTGATGAATGCTTTTCACTGTCTTCTCATGAATTTTATTCAAAAGTTTCAATCTCACTTTTACTTCTAATACTGAGAAGTACTCTGTTCTCTGTACCTGTTTGACATTCTGACTGTCTATCTCTCTCTTTGAAATATTGTTCACAATGTCACTGAGTAATGAAGAATTATATTCATAATAAGTATAGAAAGAAGATATCTTTAAGATTACATTCTTTGTATTGTTATATACAAATTCAGTGATCAGAAGGTGTTTGAGTCAATTATTCTGATAATATGAATAGAACACTTAAAGATGCTGTTCTAGTGTCTGATTCTGATGTTCAGTCTAGTCATCTGTCTGCAGATGAAATGCAGTACTGAGAAGATGTCTTATTAGAAGATAATAGCAAAAAGCTGACTAGTATTTACTGATGAAGAGAAATTCTCAATCTGTTATCAATGATTTCAGAGCACTGTGATCATAAATAATGATATCTAAAAACAGATCAGTCAATTCAGAGGCTTTAATCTTTTTGTAAGTAGAGATATATTTGATTATCTTTATAAAGTAGTTAACAATGATTAAAATTGAGTTATATTCTTTAACTCTTATCAACTTCAGTAGATTAACTATGAAATTCATTGATAGATTCTGTCATAAGCTCTTTGAAACAGGCAGTGATATTAACTCACTGTATTACTTATACTATGAGATCTTTATTCTTTAACAGATATTATAAGTCTTAATATACTCTTTAACATCTGCTCAGAGCTTGTCTCAAATATATTTATATTTTAGAAGCTTCTCAGTCTTCTCTAATCTAAAGTGTCTCATATAAAAATTATTATAATGAATTCTCAATAACTTCTGATACACTGTTCTGCTATAAGAAATGAAGACTGAATTATTCAGCAGTAGAAGTTCACATTCTTCTAGTTATCAGTGACTTGATTTCTTAGTAATATTATCCTGCTCAGAATCTGTCTCTTTCAAGTTTAAATTGAATTCTTTCTTCTTCAACTTCTGAATTTAAGCTGCAGTAGAGATGTCCCTCTTCTATAACTTATTAATGAATTTCAAAAGTAGTCAGATTGAAAGATTGTAGACTGTTTCATTCTTTGTCAATTCAATAATAATAAGATATGATATGAGAAGCTCATGATCTTCAGTGTCAGTCTTCTACAGAGACTCAGGTTTTCTTTCATCTTCTATACTGAATTGCATAGCTGCCTTATCAGTGTCATTTTCAAGCTTTAGAGAATCTCAATTCTCTGCAGTCAGCTTCTTCTGCAGTGATGATAGAGATTCTTTTATAGAATTCTTCTTCATATTAATGATATTATAATTGAGCTATTTAAATAATGTATTGACAGGGTTAAGCTGATCTGAATGATATCAGATATAGAAATCATACTCTGAAAGCAGCTCTGCTCACCTGGCTTGACATTCTGTCAAGCTCTTTGTTGTCAAGAAGTAATACAGATTTGCATAATCAGTGAGAACTTGCACTGAGTACTTACTACTCTGAAGATAATGTTATCAGATCTTAAAGAATTTGACAATTATTAATATCTCTTAATTATGAGTATTATATCTTCTCTGTGTGAGTAATAACTTCTTGAAGAAGAAGATCACTGATCTTCATTCACAGTGTCTTATAAACTCTGTGAAAAAGTCTTCTCTCACAGACATTTCATTATCTGTATTTTCAGAGATGATTATTCTCTAATTCTTTTAATATTGAAAGATCTTCAATGTCAACTGTGAAAAGATTTCATAAACTTCATTCTCAGATGTATCAGTCTCACACTGACTGAGTAAGTCAGGGTTAAAGTGATTTAGTATTATGATATCTGTAAAAGCTTGTTTTAATTCTACAAATATCTACACAGTATCTTGAGTGAGAATAAATAGTTCTGTTTTTCTGTCTTTCACACTTCTCTTTAACAGATCTGTAAGAAGAGCAGTAATCTATGAATATGTAGAGATGAATTGTCTGTAGAAATTTGTAAATTCTAGAAACATCTGTATCTTACAGTATGTCTGCAGTATCAGCCAGTTCTCAATGATGAAGACCCAGCTTCTGTTTATTGAAATGTTGTTTATCTTAATAATATAATCTAAGAAATCAATCTTCTGCATGTAGAATGAGCATTTTTCAGTGTTTATATAAAGTTAATACTGTCTCAAGTAACTCAATACTTCTCAAATATAAGTATCATATTCTTTCTTCATTTTTAAGAAGATTAGAATGTTGTTCAGGTATACTATACAGAAGACATTGACAAGACCTCACAGTGTCTTATTTATATAGAACTGAAAGATGGCTGAAGTGTTACAAAGATTAAAAGATAAAATAAGATATTCAAAATTGTCATACTTAGTATAAAAAGCTGTTTTTCAAATATTGTCTTCATTAACTCTGATTCTATGATAGACATTCTGTATATCAATCTTTGAGAATATCTTTACTTCAGATAATCAATCAATTATCTCATCAATTAACAGTAATGAATAGTAATTCTTAATTATCATCTTATTAAGACCTCTGTAGTCTATACATAGACATAGTCTATCATTCTTCTTAAGTATAAAGAGTATAGACACTTCTGCTGAACTCTTTGATAAGTATATTCAGTTCTTTAATTGTACTTTCTCAAGATATTTGTGCAGAACATTCAATTCCTTTACAGACAAGTTATAAAGAGGCCTGTACAGTGCTGTTACACTGTCTTTAAGATAAATCTTATATCATATCTTGATATCAGAAAACTTTGCTGCTTCTCTTTTCAAAAAGACATTCTTATAATCTGTAAAGAGATGTTGTGTTTATCTATCTTTAATAACAGATACTGCTGTTAATCTTGTAGTGAATATTAACTCTATCTTTTTCTCAAGATTCTTCTGATGAAACTCTTCAGATTTCTCTATCACTGTCTCTTTATTAGTGAGACAGTACTGTCATATCTGAGTGATCTAGTCAATGAGAGAATTGTTTTCTCTCAATCATAAGAGATCTAGAATAATATTCTTATCTATGATATTGACTGTGTGAAGAAGCAGACTGCTCTTCTTGAAGATTTCTTCTGAGTCTGTGATCACACACTTCACTTGAATTATGCTAAAACAGTGATACTTCATTTCATTAATAAATTTCATATAATCTGACAGATCTATCTTCTTTCAGCTCTTTATCAAAGAAAAGAAATAGAATATGAAGTTAATATTCATCTCAGAGTTAAGTAGATATCTCACTAATATCTTCTCTTTCAGAGTATGTATTGTGATCATAACATGAACTCAGAGATATAAGAATTATTAATTCTTTATTTCTTTCTCTTCTTTATCTTCTATGAATATATTTGTCAGAAGAGAAGTTGACTTTGAGAAGATATCTTCTCAGTTTCTTCTCTTCTTCAGTTTCTTACAATCACTGATATAATAATCATTAACTTCACAGTTAAAACAGAGATCTTTATCAAATCTTTTTTAGTATTTCTTCACAGTGAGTGAAGATTCAGAATACTTGAAATTCTTCTTTACTTTCTTCATACTGAAGCTGTCACAGTGCTGTTTAAATCTCATTATTAATTACTTAGAAGAGATCTTATTAATCTTTTTCTCAGAGAATTGATTATTCAAATAGATCTGAGAAGTCAGATTGACAAGCTCAGTATAATTAATTAATAAACTCTGATACTGTGATATCATTGTCTGCACCTTGTGAGTCAGCTTTATAAGATAAAGCTGTGTTTTTAATTGATTCAAATTATCAGTT